TTAGTACATGAAGATATTCAGCACATACACTATGGCAATATGTTTCAAATAAGATCAGAGGTAGGACAGATGGAAAGAGCCCTAAGCCCTCTGATTTCTCAGGAATGAAGGCTTTTAGAGCTCTTCTTTTTCAGCTGCTAGTAAAGTGCAATATAAAGAAGACTCACAAACCTACAACCCACCTCTTAACTCAGAAAGCAGTGTACCTCGGCTAGCCAGAAATACTGCAAGGAAAAGTGTACATTAACCTTCAACACAAGCATAAAATGACCAGCTACTAAGGTTGGTTGTTTTTCCCCCTCTGAGTTGAGAGGATGAGAGGGATGATGTAAAAGTCAAAATTTAGAACTGAAGGAATAGGAAAGTTCTACTTTCCTCATCACAGAAATAGCAAATGTCTCAAAGTGAGTGAGTGGGATTCACCAGTCCTTTACTACATGCACACGCATACACCCAGGCCTCATCATGAATGCAGAAGACTAAAAAGAGCATTGAGAAGGAAGAAGTTTCCAACACAAACTGCCTCATGGAACAAATGCACAAAATTAACTGATCCCTGGCCTGATATGCTTTTGCACACTTGCTTAACACAATCCTGCTCGATAGGTCTTGTCTTCACTACTAAAATAGCTTGTATTTTACACTTGGATGACTAAAACATGTAAGCTATCACGAAACACACACACACACACACACACACACACACAGAGTCAAGACAAGATATTTAACTTTTACTGTGAAGTGAACTCACAGGGCATGTCCAGATGAGCCCACATAAGCTTCTTCCCACGTGTCAAAGCAGTTTGAGATGCGGCAAGAGGCATGTTAGGAACAAAAAAACATTTCCTGTGCTGCATATTTACAGCATCAGTTCAAAATTTGATACCTGGATATCCAGGTATCAAAAAAAATAAAAAAAGCGGGGCAGGGCATGGTCCTGGACAACTGAGGCAACTGGAGGCTGGGGTCCTCCAAAGAGATACTCTGATATCCGACCAGAGTGTCTCTATGCCTGCTCCTTGCACCAATGCTGCAGCATACTGCCTGCCCATACAGGGCAAACAGTGATGCAGGCTGCAGCGACCTGGACCCAGACTCTGTTCCAGGTAAGTGTGGAGTGGGGTAGCTTGGAGCGGGGTGGGGGGCTGTGAGGGTGCAGGAGATCATTGAGGGGGCAGCTCAGGAGGGGTGGGAGCACTCGGAGCCCTCCTGGCACAGCTCCCTGCACAGCCCGTGGCAGCAAATCTCAGCCCTGGCCACCTGGCTCCCAGCATTCCCTGTGCCGCATCGTGTGGGCCGGTCCGGCTCGGCATGGCACCATGTACCTTCAGGCAGCTCCGGGCTGCTCGGGCTGTCACTGAAGGCCTTGCACCGCTCACAGGGACTGCCTGTTATGCCAGGCCAGGTCCTGCATGCATGGGCCCCACACGCCATTGAGCCAGTTCCGTGCACACAGAACCTGGCCTGGTGCAACAAGTGGTCCCCGTGAGTGGTGCAGGGCCCTGAGTGACAGCCCAGGAAGCCCAGAGCTGCCTGAAGGTGCACAGCGCTGGGCCAAGCTGGGCCCATACAATGTGGTGCAGGCAGCACCAGGTGCCAGGCAGCCAGGGCCAAGCCATGCTGCTGTGCACTGTGTGGGCGGCGGGAGGGGCTGTGCCAGGAGGGGCCCAAGCGCTCTTACAATGGCTGCTGCTGTTTCAGGTGAGCTGTGGACTGTGCGGGAGGGCAGTCCATGTGCTGGGGTGGGAGGGGGGGCTGCACCCTGCGGGGAGCAGGAAACCTACCCCACCTGAGCAGCTCCCCTACAATTCCCACACACCCCACACCCACCCATCTGCATCCCCTCACATCCCCCTCCTGCAAACCCCACATCCCCCCATCACACACCCATCATACCCAGCTGCCAGACAGGATGAGACCTGCTGGCAAGACCTGTGGTTGCAGGGGCAGCTGTCCCCACATCCTAGTTAGTGAAGGGGTCAGGGGAACTCTAACTGTTCTATGATACGGAAACCAAAAGCAAATGTCAAAACATATAAATATTTAGAATTTATTTTATTATGATGACCAAGACACTGTCAGGTTTCCAAACTGCTTTAACATTGTAAATATAGCAATAAAACATTGCCTAACTGCTCTCTCTCTCTCATTTTAATTGTGGAAGAACATAGATTTGCAGATATTTTAAAGAGTCAATTTTGGATTTTTTTTTTTTTTTTTTTTTAAGAGATTTTTCAGTTTTTAAATAGGGAACACCAGGTTTTTTGCTAGTGAGGCAAGTGGCAGGGCCCAGGCTGAGAAGCCTGCTCAAGGCTGGCACCTGGGACCCAGCCAGTGGTGGCTGACCTCCTGGCCACTTGGGGCCAGGAGAAAATGCTTTGACAGTTCAAAGCAGGCCACCACACTGAGAACTTCTTCCGGGCAATAGCTGCCCAGAGGGCAGGGCGGTAGTACACATGGCAGTAGTACTACACAAAGGTCAACTATTAAGCCACAGCCCACTGGCACCTGGCCCAGAGGTGCAGTCCCCCTCCAGGTCTGGCAGGTGTACAGCCTTGAGATCACATGCTGTCACAGGTGGCAGGTCACAGCCAGACAGCAGCCCCCACTGCCAGAGTGCTGCACTGGGTAGAGGGTCCAGGGTACTGTTGGTTAGGGTTGCTTCAGCAGTCTAGCTGGCACAAGGGGCTAGTGTCCCATGATACCAGTTGGCCATGCCCCAGAAGCTCCTGACTATCTGTATCACCCAATTATCGTGGGCCCTGAGACCCACACAGCTAACTAATAGCTCCTATTGTGTGGGGCCAACGGATGGATGACACAACAGAATACTTGGGACAACTAATGAAAAAACCAGAATAGGAGTGTCGTTTGGGTCAAAGGGTCAAAATGTGAAAATAAGTGCGCTTGAAGGGACACTGAGCAGAGCCCCCTGGGCTGCACCCACTGGTCCTCAAAGGCATCCAAGGAACCAGTGGACGCTGCCCACTGGTGCTCTGCCTGGAGATGTGCACGGACAAGTGAAAGGAAAGTGGCCCCACAGTCTCTGGGCACCTTCCTGGCCAGAGCCTCCTTCCTGGTCAAATACAGGGCCTACTTGGCCAGGGCCAGGAGGCGGTTGACCAGGAGGTCCCGGGACTTGGTGGGCCCACAGATGGGTTGACCAAAAACAAAACATGGGGGGGTGAAATTCAACCAGAACCTCAAGTGGAGGCTCTGGAGGTGGAGGGGCTGCAGCCTGGCGCACTCAAGGGTCATGTGCGCCAGGGTCTCCCTCTGCCCGCAGAAGGGGCAGGAGACCAGGGTGTCCATGAAGCTCACCACATACACGCCTGTGGTGATGGCTCCATGGAGAAGCCACCAGCTGAGGTCCCCAGTGGCTTGTGGAATGAGGGTGGAGTACAGACTCAGCCAGTAGGGTGCCCCAGCCACGCCCTTGCCAACCAGGTCCTGCCACTTGGTGTCTGGGCGGGATGCAAGGGTGGCATGATGGACAGTGCAGTGCACGAGCGTGTAGGGGTGGCAGCGACAGACGGTGGAAAAGCAAACCTGTCTGGTGTCCTCCAGCTGGCTCAGGTGGTGGAGTGGGGAGTGCCGTGAAGCCAGGTGAGGTGCTGGCCCCATGACAAATTCTGGTGGGCTGGAGAATTTCGGTGGGCTGGAGAACATGGGGGGGGGGGTGGCAGCAATTTTGCTGCCACCCCAGATGTTCCTGAGAGTAAGTAGCCCTGAGCTGCGTGCCATAGCAGCTTTTTATACTGCCAAGACCAGCACAGGGCAGGTTTTTATACTGCTGGGACCAGGCTCTAGCTCCTGGCTGCAAATCCGAGAGGAGCTGGGCAGGGCTATTTTGCCCCAAGTGGCACAACTTGCCCCACACCAAAGTGCATGTCCAGGCCTGTGTGCCAAGGCAAAAATCCCTGGCTCAAATTTGTGCCGCTCCTTTCTGAGCTTCTGTAAGAGCATGTGCCTGCATGTAAGGATGTGCCCACAGAGGTCAACTGTATATTCAGGGGTATAGGACTGACCTCAGAGAACCTCATGGTAAAACTTAAGTAACTATGCTTCCAAAGTATTTTTTTTTAATCTGGGTCAGTTACTTACCTTAAACCCAAATACATAAATAAAACATCATTTTAGTAGGAAGACCAAGCCAGAAAGTCTTCAGTGTGCTGTTATAACAACTGTATGAAATGCTTAGAACCAACAGTTCATTCTGAATAAAATTTTGCATTTTTCAATAGTAGTATTCTAAACAAAAATTTTCACTACTATTTAAAATTGTCATTTTGCCCCTAAAAATAAAACAAAACAAATTCTAAATTGAAATGGGAATAACAGTCATTGGTGCTTTTTTTTTTTTTGCTATTATCATCTTATAATAATGAGTGGAAAATGTTCCTAACCAATAAGTCAATTGCTTTGAGCAAAATTTTTAACAGAAATAAAGCTAAATTTCTCAAATCAGCTCTAATAAATAGAAATTTTTACATTTTAGCATATTGTGGGATAGGATAATGAATTTGGACTTTTCTAATTATTTAATAATAAATCAAATACAATTTAAAAGTAGAAGGAAAGTTGGCTCCACTCAGACTGAAACATTCAAAACTTTAACTGTTATACATGTTGGCAGTAGTAAAACTGTTAATTTGGAACACCAAATAATAATTTGCTCCTGTGTACAGAGAAATTTAAACATTTGGTTTCAACTTTTAACCTCAATTGGATATGGACAGGATTACTGTTTCAACCAGAATGGGAAATGTATATTCATAATGCTTTATTATAAAAAACAATCTCTTCTGAGCAGACATACTTGTGTTTATTGGTACCATTCTTATAGTTCTTGCTTTCAATTTATTTTAATGAATCTACAGAGATTTTTATACAATAAGCTCATTCATAAACATTAAATTAGCTGTACACAAGCTGAAAAATTGTTTGATAAAATTCAATGTAACATAAGATAGAGAACAAAATACTAGTGTGTACATTACCTTAGCATTCTCAAGTAGTACATCATTTCTACCTAAACCGGGTCCTATGACAATTGAATGCAGTCGTGGTAACCACTTTTCCACTTCATGAACAGCATTAGGACTGTCACTAAATTAAAGAAAAAGAAGTAAAAAGAGATTTACTTTCAATACTCTAGAAGTCCGAAAGATCAGTGTATGGTCAAAGGGAACACTGGGGGGGGGGTAATTTTACCCCCCAAATTACTAAAATATATATTATAGAGAAACAAGACACAGAGAGAGAAACATCTTTTAGAATTGACCTGATGTCAATCCAGGAACATGGCTCCTACTATTTTAGTCACACAGTGTATTTCCCATGCCTTACTGGACTCGGGGTTTAAACTCAAGCAGAATAGAGTTATTAACTATAAAGTCCCATGTTGTTAAAGAAAGGGGAAAAAAACCCTACATCAAGAAAAACGTTTAGGTCTCTCTTTGGAGAGCTTTTAACATAATACCTTTAAGAATTCTTTTGTGATGAAAACTCTTCTCTGGTTAAATGAATACCAAGATAATACTCTTTCCCAATATCAGCCCTACCAGATCTCATTGTTTTATGAGTGATGGAAATAATTTATAGATGGCATGCGAGAGGGGAGGCAAAAGCCCCCCTGACTCACCCCAGATCCCTTCCCAATGTGCCCTGTTACTTACTGCAGGGATGGCAAAGAGCAGCAGCTGAAGGGAGACTCCGTGGCAGGCTCAGCAGTTCCGGAGCTGCCTGAGCCTGCAAATCAGTGGACACAGGGGGGCGTGGCCTGAGAGAGGTGCGGGCTGCCCAAAAAGCAGCTGAGGATGCAACTGGAGGCTGGCAGGGAGAAGGAGAGCTGGATGCCAGCAGGGAGGTGCTGGCTGAAGATCCGGGGGATGCAAACCCCGAGGACGGGAGCAGGAAACCTCACATTTGCTGGGGAACACTGGCAGGCAAATGGGGGAACTCAAGCCCCTGAGCAGAGGGACACCAGGGAGCTCCACCAGAGAGGAGCAGCCCCCAGGGACACCACGAAGGGGAGACAAGGCTCCAACAGAAGCCCCAGGTACCTTGGCAGGGAACGGCCCCAAGGGACCAAAGACATCCCTGGGCAACACAGCAGTGAGGGAAGAGCATGAAGCCCATGCAAGGGGGATGAGCAACACCGGCTGGTGGGACCCAGACAGCCCATCCGCCGGTCAGATGGTCCCAAATGTGGAAGGCACATGGGCCCCAGGGAGGCTTCCCCGAGAGGGCCAACAGGGGCCTGGCACAGGGTGGCCTCCCTCCCAAACGCCCAATAGGCAAAGAGGGATGGCTGAGCCCCCAACAAGACCAAAGGCCCTGAGAGACCAGATCCCAGGAGCCCCGTCAGCAGATGCTGATCCCTTACATTCAGTTTTTCCTAAGTTACAGTTAACCCCAGACGGGTGTGTCTAGTTGCCTAGGCTCCAGTCCAAAGACGAAGGAGGGCCTTGGAAAGACGGATGGCCAGAAAGGCCCAACCCTTGAAGGGGTGTGGTGTGGATGAGATGGGATCATCCAAGGGCAAGACCAGCGGAGAGCAGAGTCTGCCCTGGCCATGGATGCGGTAAGGGTGGGGTAAAGGGGAGGTTGGAGCCTCACAAAGAAACCCAGGGCTGAGATCCCCTCAGACCACCTGCAGGGAACTGCCCCACAAGAAAAAGAATGAAAACATCAAAGACATGGCAAGCGAGTAGGAGCAGCACCCGAACTCCCTTGGTGGTGCCGAATTCAGATCTCACCCTGATGTCACTGGGGAGCAAGGCACCAACAATGGAGGGGCCAAACCCCTATAACACCTACCAGCAACATGGCATTATAGAACCCATTGCATCCTATGACAGCTTGAGTTTCTCCTGGACAACCTCAACAGTTTCTAAATGGGCAAAGGTGAGCAACCTTTACTACATTTATTCGATTCCAAGACAACTCTAGATTTAAAACAATTCCCTAATTAAATTATATACATGGAAAATGTACAAATTTGTTAAAATTTTCCATGTGTAGAAGCTATTCATTGCAGGGGCATCTTAAATCCATTGCCCCCACTGCTGCACTGGGGCAAACAGTGGCTGGAGGGCAGGGAGTGTGGGAACCAAGTGGCCTAACCTCTGTCCCCTCCCTCTCCCCCAACACCTTGCCCCCTGCTGCCTGTCCCCTCCATCACTTGCCTGTACTCCCTCTGCACCAGATTCCCTACAGTGTGCCTGTACACACTTGAACTAAGCCCCCTACAGTATGTACCCCCTGGCACCTTTGTCCCCTGACCACTTACCTTTACCCCTGACCCCCTTCACAAACCCAGTGCCTCCCTTGGTGCATGCCCCGTGCCCCACAATCTCTGCCCTCCTGCCATCTTTGCCACTGCCACCTTTACCTCCCCTTTCCCTGCTGCCACCACTGTCCCCCTCCCACCATTTACACTCCAGTTCTGGCTCCACTCCTGAGCATCAAGCAATGGAACAGGTGGTTGTTCTGGCCCCAGCAGGACCACACAGCAGCAGCCACAGAGATGACAGTTCTGTCCCACTTGCTGTGCGGTCAGAACAACCATGTGCTCCATAAGTAGAGGGCAAGTGGCAGTGTGGGACACATGCAGTGAGGGGCTGGGCAGCAACTATGGCTTTAACTGTAATCCTTACCCCGAGTCAGAGTCAGAGAGGGAACCACAACAACCACCTGGCTCCCCCCCCACTCAACTGTATTCAAATCCAAAATGAAAGACTTTTGCCCACATGTTAAAATAGAGGGGAAAACTAATCTTGGATTTGAGTGAATGCCGTAAGTTTTTTAAAACTAAAACAGGCATTTCAAGCAGTTATTTAAAAGACCATTCATAATCAGCAAAGTAATGCATACAGGCAACCTCTGCTTAACATGGTTTTGCTATAGCGCTCATTTAAAATACATGCTTGGTTTCACTTAGCATGCAGAGTGTTTCATTATAACGCTCAGAGTGGTGGGTGGGGAGAAGCAGTGGCGGCAGCAGCACTGTTGTCAAGTTGAATTGGTGAGTGGCAGCTGGTGGGGCCCAGGGCGGGGTGGCAGGAGCCCAGGGTCTACTCTGGCACGTAGTGCTGGAGCGGGCGGGAAGAAGCCATGGCAAGAAGGGGTGGGTGGGGGGCCATGCAGCATAAGCATGGAGCCCAATCTGGCAGGGCCCAGGGCAGGGTGGCAGGAGCCTGGGGTCCGCTCCAGCATGTGGTGCTGGAACAGCTGGCGGGCAGGGAGGAGTGGCGGGGGCAGCGAGAAGGAGCAGGCAGGGAGTGTGAGCACAGGGCCCAGGCCGACAGGAGCATGGGGCCCAAGGCCAGGGCTGGCAGGAGTGTGGGGCCTGGGCCAGTGCGAGCCAGTGCTCAAGTACATGCGTGCAGTGTCCCCTGCCCCAGACCACAGTGGGGCCAAGCCTGCGAACCCCCTGTCCCTGGGATGCAGCCCATGACCCATTCCGCTCCGGGTACACACTCACCCATGGGGCATGGACACCATTCTGAGCTTCCCCCGGTGCTGGCTGGAGCCCCGCTGCCTTCCTGTCATTAATCCCTGGGCAGATGGGTTCCTGACTCAGGCCCTGCAGGAGGGGGAGCTGGAGCTGCACACGTGTGCTGGTGGCCAGCAGGTGCAGGCCAGCAGGGGCGGAACAACGAGGCCAGGAGGAGCCAATGCCTTCCCTGGCAGAGCCCGTGCAGTGCCTTGCCGAGACTGGCAGGGCCAGGACTGGCAGGAGCATTAGGCCAGGGCTGGACGGTGGTGCAGAACCAATTATATTTATTTACATTAAACCCTATGGGAAAATGGGTTTCCCTTAACACTGTTTCGCTTAGCACTTGGTTTTTCCAGAACCAATTAAGAGCATTAAGCAGGCGTTGCCTGCATTCAGAAATTTAAGTTTAGAACAAATCTTACTCTTTCTTGGTTCAGTAGCTTTATCTGACAGCTCCTCTTCACAAAAACGTGATCTAAGCCATGGGTGTTAAATGTATGGCCTATGGGGCTCTGACAGAGGATAGGATTTGGAGGGTGGGACTAGTAGGGGTGGGGCCAGACACCAAAATCCAGGGTACAGAACCCCACTGGGGACATCTGTTGGGATGTGGGAGAGAGTGAATTTGACACCTTTGATCCAAACAATTTAGGGTTAAACAGGGGAAAAAATGTTAATTATCTTACAATATTAATATGTTAATATCCCATTAAAACTATTATGAAAATAAATCAATCCCTGACAGTGCTTTGGTTAATTTAATCTCATTCTGATTCTAAGAAAACAAATTTTGAGCTAGAATTTTGATTATTGATGATGCTACCCAACTCCATTTTTTGTTTTTGGTTCTTCTTTGATGTCTTGCTGTTGCCTGCTTGCAGAGAAGAACCAGATCACTTGTTATGAATGTGGTAAAGGTTGGAAGCAGTCTCTACTGCTTGCTTAAGTCTTATTTATACTTTTCTCCTTTCATAATTTTGCTGTAGATGCAAGAAACACCTCTTTAGGATTTGACTAGATTCTTGACTGTTACTAATATTGCCTGTCATTCTTTCATTGGCTCAACACCTTTGGTGTTTTATTCAAGATGAAGCAGCTGAAGTTACTGCCTGCTACATTTGCAGCAGGGTGATAATTTTTCCTACACTAAATTATAATGTTGCCTTCATTCTTGTAGCAGCAAATTCTCAGAGTATCTTCAAAATTTCAGCCTTTTCATTCAATTTGTAAGACAGCCTGTTAGTTTTATTAGGTTTCAACAAGAATTCATTTCTGCTTTAAATATGTCTAAACACTCTTACTTTATATAGAGCATCTTAAGTTTTGAAAATGATTTTAAAAGTTAATGTGTTAAGACATAAATTCAAGTAATGAAAAAAGTTATTGTCCCCCCTTCTGCCCCCTTTTTTTTTTTGGAAGAGAATTTTGTGTTTTTGAATTTGGTACAAAAAATTACATAAACACTGCCAGGTAATGAATTAATTTTCCAATTAACAGTAACAGTTTTATTCAATTGCCCTGTTATATTAGTAACCAGTTACTGCACCAGATGACCGTACTATTGTTTGGAACAATAATAATCGTTTTGTCATATAACAATGGCATT